AAATAAGAAGGGGAAAAGAGAACACTTGTGGTAAATAGCCAGGGGAAATACGGGACAAGATCCTTGGAGGAGAAAGTGGTGAGAGGGGGTTGGAAGGGAAGCATGATTAGATAAGACTTTGGGAACACCTGCTGTGGTGAGTGAGACAGAGGATCCATTCAGGAAGAATAAAAGAATCTTCTTGCTGTAGGGACAGCCTTACTGAAATCAGGTAATGTAAAAGGGACAACTTATAAATGGTATAAATCTGCACTGGATCTAATCCGAATGGTTCATCATTTCCTCCAGCTCTGTTCAGCAGCATATGAATAGGAATGAAGGGGAGGAAAGCTCACAGTAATCTAAATTTGGAGGCTGGCAAGGAAGAATAAAGGACTGATTCTCACAGGTACTGAGACTGAGAAAGCAGCAGAGTATAACCAGAGCAGGGGTGAGGGGCCTACAAAGGTACAGAGGAGAGAAGTGACTGAATCTGACAGCCAAGATGAAGAATAGGCTTAGGAGTAGTACAGGGAGAAAAGTGGGTGCAGCCAGGTGGCACCATGGTGCATAGAGTGCACACAGTCTGGGGTCAGGAAGACCTGAGTTCAAACAAAGCCTCTGTTTGCCTCAGTTTCCTCATCTGTAAAATGGGGATAATAATAACTCCTACCTCACAAGGTTGTTGTGAGATCAAATGAAATAATAATAGTAAAGGGCTTAGCACAGTGCCTGGCACACAGTAAGCACTATATAAATATTATTATTGTTAAATGCAATGATAAAAGGTCCTAGGAAATCATGGTGAGTCAAGGACTCTACCCAAGAACCTTAAGCTGGATAGGTTGGCTAGTTTAATATTGATGAGGAATGCATGGCCCTCACCCTTTTTCTCAAATTTAATAAAAAGGGCGAGGGTCATGAAGTTCCTCATCAATACTGCGTAACATTCCTTTGTGTAAGTTTTCTAATTGTATGTATTCTCTTTCATGGGGTGGGGTGGGGGGAATATGTAAAAATAGACACCGAGCTTTGACAGTACATTGGCAGAGGGGGAAAAGGTGTGAGTGCTGGTGTTTAGGCACCAGGTCAGTCACAAAGGGGGGGGGACATGTAATTAGGGACAGGGTGGGGCAGATCCTTTCACCAGAATCAGAGTCACCAAGAAAGTTTAGAGACTCTAAGACAGGAAATGAAGATAAGTAGGGGTTTAGGTTATAGCAAAGAGAAATCTTTAGGTCAAGGGCTGGAATCCCCAAGGTCAGTTACAGGAAGCATCTGTTTCCTGGGTATGCTGAGACCCACAGCATGGCCTCATACTAGAACATTCCTAACAGTAACAGAGACCATGAATTATGTTTTCAACATAAGGAAAAGTACATACAAACTTACATCACAGATTTTCGGTTTTTTATTTTAAAACAAAAAAATTTTATGGGGTCCTAAATTGTAGAAATGAATACAATGATAAAATCATTTGCTCATAAAATGGTTCATCTGACTTCATCATAAAAACAGAAATAATTCGTTGAAAAGCCACTGACTACTTTGTACAAAAAAAAAAATCCTCAAACCACCTCTTTTTGGACATTGCCAATACCTCCATGCTACTAACAGGTACCTTGATAACAAATCTCTACATGAAAAACAAACTACATTTTCTGTTGATAAATGTCAATATAAAGTTCAAGATCATAAGGATCTTCTATGTCTAAAAGAAAATATGATACAAGAAGATAGTTTCTTAATGGTCACTTTGCTCTAGGTCATGCAATAATTAGGAAAACAAAAAGGAGAGTTAGGACAAAGTAGTACTGACCTGATAGAACTGATATATCATAATGGTTTTTAATTATTGGAATGTTGTCACTTTGATTTTGAAATAAAATAATTAACGTAAAAAAATAACCTGAGACAAAAGGTTTTTTTGGACAAAAATAAAATTAATCTCCTGTGATGAACCTAAGGAGTTCAAATTTCATTAAGACTTGGGTTTTTGCAATGCCGACTATTTCACTATAAAAGGAAAACTTGTTATTCTAGAAGCACCAGCAGGAGAGATCCAATAAGGATGATAAGATTTCCATGATTCTAAATGAAGAGAGTAATAATACTTAGCTCACAAAGTTGTCATGAGAATTAAGATAACATGTGGTAAGCATTTTATAAATCTTAAACACTATATAAAATGTTAGTTATCATTATTATTGCTATACATTAGCATTCTTCAAGTGAAGGTGTGGGCCTATTAAGAGTCTTAAAAAGATTATTAAAGACCCTAGCCACCAGCACTTCTGTTGTCTCTGCCACACTATCCATTCTTCCACCAAATCCTTTCCTTTGCTGTTAAAGTCTTTCATATATGCATGCTGCTGGCCCTATGTCAGTTTTTATTTATCTGGTATTTTTGTAAGCAACAAGTCCACATTTGTGGGAGCTGAAAAAAAGAACCCACAATCTCAATCTGTGTGGAAACATGCTTTATTGAGTTAACTATACATAAGGCTTAACAAATCTGGGTTAATTATAATGGGCAACTATAACAGAATATGGAGAAAAATAGATAATCTTCAGGGTAAGTATAAACAAATTCACTTTTAATTATTTTTTAAAAAGAAGAAGCTACACTGACTGTGAAAGTGATTCAAATTTTAAGTAAATCCTGTAGTGAATAGGGCACTGGCCTTATCTCCTGGACTGACTCTCTATCTACTACATCATCCTGCTTCTCTCATATACAATGACTGCAACAATATAAATGAAAAATATCATAAAAGGCATCAGGTCTAGACTAACTGAAAAACCAGTGATACAGAAAACAGATAATGAAACATACTTTCCTTTTCACATCAGAAAGATGAGGAACTAGGGCAGAAGGTTGTATTCACCATCTGTATAGTCTGTGTAACAGGTATTTTTACATAACTGTTTTTCTCTGTTACAAACAAAAAAGTTCAATGGGGGCACAAGTAAGGTATTTTCCCAGAAATTACTGTGATATAAAAAACAGATGGCATTAATAAAATGTATTTTTAAAAATAAAAATACAGCACTCTTATTAGAGATGATGAGTTTGGAAAAGATTCTAATAGTATCTTTCAACCCTGACTGAAATTATGACTTTCAACATTGTGATTTTTTTTAAAAAAAAAGGCCACACACTTAATCTAAACTGAAGTAGAAAATCTTTAATAACTGTTTATGTTTGGCTCCACTCAAAAATTTCAAAACTGATCTCTTATTTACTTGAAAAACATTATGAGGAACTGTTGAATTATGCACATTTGTTTACTCTAACAATGAAACTACCATCTACTCTGTGTTTTGAGTTTAATTATAAGAGACCATCCTAGAAGCTAGTAACTTTAAGTGAATAAATAACTTGTCCCTCTTATTTTGATATATCTTCATAAAATACTAAAATTCTTCAATTTCTGCATTTCCAAATAGGTATTTTCTATAGTGTAAAAGCATACCACAACCTATTCTTTCATATTTGCATGTTCTTAGAATAGTACTTCACAGCTGTATTTCCTATTTATCCTATTAAGTTCCTAAAAATTTAGTTTTGTCCAAAATGGCAGATTATTAGAGTTGTCCAAAAATAGAATAGGATGCTTCATGAAATGGGGAGTTCCCATGACTGAAGAGTTAAAACAGAGACTAAGAGGTCACCATCATTAGAGAAGGCAATGGAATCAGATTAGGCTGCAGGTTCCCCACCCCTAGATTAGGGGATAGGATATACAAAACTTCCTGAAGTTCTTTCCAATACTAAGATTTTATGAAATGATAGAAAATAACTAAATACAATTGTTTTAATGTTAAATATCTTAATATTTAATACTGAGCTCAGTGAATAATGGAGAAGGTATTATTGGACACAAATTCATCTAAGAAAAAGAGAGTATTGTCTTAGATTCTATCCCCTTAATTCAGCATCACTAGATTGAGAAAAAAGAAGTTCACGGGAGGAAAAATTTTGAATCTTAATTCAGAACTTTTTTAAAACTAATTTTCAAGAAGCAATTCAATTTCACTTACTTGTTCACATGTAATAACAATCTTCCCATTTCAATGGCCAAAATTTTACTTTTCCCCTTGTGAAAAAGTTAAAAGTTTCTCTTTGTGTTTTTACTGAGCCAAAGGAAAAAACCTTCAAAAACAGAAAATTCTAAACAGACAATCTCCAGTTCACTAGCTTATCTAATACATTTCTCATAAGCACCTGCCTGATGTCATTGGAACTGTCCCTATCTGGTGACATTGCTTCAGATTGCGCTCCCTTCTCCTCTGATTGCTATAAATCCTACTGTTGTCTGGGACTTCTCCCCCCCCCCCCCCACCAAATCTAGTCCTATTTCTTCACTTTATCACATTACCGGCTGACGGGGCGCTGTTTATTTTTTCACTTTGTCCCAATAGTCGTACAGGACCCAGCAATAGCAAGGAAGAAAGAAGGGAGCTTCAATCTACCTAGTGGCTGTTCCCTTTTTTCTCCCTTCACTCTTTCTGTTTATCTGGTCCCAGAGAGATGACTCAAATGGGAACAAGTACCAAGGGTTTGGAATTAGGAGTCTCTGTTCCCACTCCCTGGCAAACTGATGGAATGAGTTTGTACAAGAAGGGAAGACATGTTTCTGGCATGCCAACCTGGCATTCTGAAAACTTTTTTTTCTAAGAACATTATTACACATGGTCACTAGTAAAATATCATACACTTCAATACATTATAGATTATATAGGTTTTTGTGGACTTGTGTGGGTACCTATCCATTACAAATAGCAAAATTTCTATTGGAAAATATGTTCTAAGTTCTCAAAAAAAACCTTTACAAACATGCTTTTAGAAACACCATTTCTTAAGTTAAAGATTGTCTCTAACTAGATGGTACACCAAGGTATGCAGCAATTACATTTTGATTAGGTAAAGTATTTTCAGAAATGGCACTACAATACTACTATATGGAATAAAAAGCACAGGTAAGTTTTAAAGTCAATTTAAAGAAGCCAGCACATACCTATTGTGATGTTACCCATTTTGCTGTGTACTGTTAAGTCACCTACAAGAGAGACAGAGAGAATACAGTTAATTCACCTATGGGAGGGAAGGAGGAAGGGGGAGAGGGAAAAGAGAGAGAGAGAGAGAGACAGAGAGAGAGACAGAGAGAGACAGAGAGAATGAATATGAATAAATGAATGTTAATACTGGACCAAAAAAAAAAGATGCAGATGTTATGCAGTACCCAAACATGACTAGTTCTATAAGCTATTATTGGAAATTACATGTTTACTTACTACTGTATCCAACCCACATAGGTGGTGCAAATCTAAGTAACTCATAGCGAAGCTTTTGTTCAGATTCTGATTTACTATCCACAAAAAAGAAAAAACAAAAACCAATCTACTCAGAGTCTGAGTAGGATACATATACTCCCTGACAAATAGTGGGGAGAGGAGGATAATCTCACTTAGACCAGGGTTTTACGTCAAGTATTACATCCAATATTCATATGGAACTGATTCAAATTTACAAGAGGATATGAATAGGCAGATTTCAAAGGAAGAAATCCAAGGTATTAAAAGACCTGGAAAAAATGATCAAAATAACTAATAATTAGAGAAATGCAACCCTAAGATTCTTTCTCACACTAACCAGACTGTCAAGGATGACAAAAAAGATAAGATGACAATTGTCAGAAGAGCTGTGGAGAAAGAGGACTATTAATAATCCACTGTTCATGAAGCTATTTTGGAAAGCAATTTAAAACTATATCCAAAAAAATCACTAACCTGTGCATACCCTTTGATTCAGCTACTATATCTGTACCAGGCCAGTACAATAAAGACATTTTTTAAAAGAACCTACTTGTAAACACTACTTACAGTAGCTCTTTCTATAGTAGTAAATAACTAGGAACTAAGGGAGTGCCCATATACTAGGGAACAGCTAAGCAAATTATGGTATTAGATGAAATGAAAAATTATAATGCGATGAGATAAAAAATGGTCTCACAGAAACCTAGATAGATCTGCATAAATTGATTCAGAGTGAAATACACAGAACTAGGAGAGCAATTTATACAATAACAAGATTATAAAGAAAAACAACTTTGAAAGATTTGATAATTTTGATCAATGCAATAACCAATCATGATTCCAGGGGACTGATGATGAAGTTTGTTATCCATTTCTTAAGAGAGAAGTAATAAACTCAAGATGAAGAATGAAACATCTATCTTCAGACACAATCCATCTGGGAATTTGTTTTGCCTGACTACATCTACTGATTACAGGCATTTTGTTTTTCTTTTTTCCAAGTGAAGTGGGGTTGAAAGGCAAGGAAGTTTAGAGAAGTGATAGCAAAACTACCAGACAGATGGAGTAAAGAGGGTCATATTAAGGCATATTTGTTAATAGAGAGAAAAGAACAGAAGGAAAGCCAGAAAAGACAATTTTGAAAGCTAAAGATTTTTACTATATACTTAATACTATATATTTTATAGTTAATACTTTATGCTTAATACTACACTTCATACTTTATTATATACTTTATGTTTAAAAAGGAAGCTATACTTAATAGAGAACTATTGTTTCATGTCAATTCTTATTTTTCTGTTCTATTATGAATATAGGAATGTGAATTCTATTTGGTGTTTATTAAGTTCAGAATAAAAATTGAAATTAAAAAATCATACAGGATTAAAAATTTGCCAAATGCACTCACTGCACATTTTTAATCTATACGTCAAAACATTTACCAATCTACAGAAAGTCAACTTTGAGCCAAAAGCTGAAATGTTTCTTGTAAAACAACAACTGTTAGTTTTAAAACAAGTATTCTTTCTATTTTACAGTTGCCTTCATCTGCAACGATTAAAGTGGTTTCTGATTGTGGAGTGTAATGCACATACTAAAATATGACTAAGAAAAAAAAAACCCAAAATGTTCCATCGTTTAATGAGAATCTCTTTTCCAGGATGGATGTGGGATATTGAAACCACTTTTTTTTTTCCCCTCCTCAGAACAGTTTCTTTGTTCAGCATGCGTATATGAAGAGTCACCCTTGGAGTCATTAAACAGTACCGCATTCTTCAGCATTCCCTCAATACACAGTTAAACAATATTACTTTTTACCCTAACTCCAGCAAAGCACCCAGAAAACATAAAGAAATAATCTTGGTTCCAGAATGAATCCACTGTGATGGGAATGCATGTACACTGTTCAAATATCCTTCTAAACATCACATCATTATACAGGCAAATGACTCCTGCGTCGGATTTTAAGAGAGGCTATTGTTTCACCAATTATTCTAAATTTCTCATATTCAAATGTATGCACAGCAATAAGTATGTGAACAAGGAGTGAGTTTGTGTAGGAATAAAGCTTGGTTTGCATTAGAAACTCAGCTTAAAAAAAAAAGCAAGAAGTCCTGTTTAAGCTGGAAGTGTTAGGTGTGGTACAAAGTTATTCTGTAAACATTATTTTTACCAGTTTATTCTGTACATTCCCTCCAAATGTTCAGAACCCAGTAAAATGTGTAGCTGTCCCACCCACTTGCTGAGAGCAGCCAAAGCCAATCCCTAGACCAAAGCAAGTGTTCCATATATCCTTCTCTCCAAAGTAACAAAAAATGATCCTCCCTGACATTTAAATAAAGTGCTTTATAGACGTGATCTCACTTGAGCTCCAACACATCCCTGCCTGGGGGAGGCGCTGCAGGTGCCATGATCCCCATCTGCAGATGAAGTAAGTGAGGCTTTGAGAAATTAAGTGATTTGACGATCACCACACAAGCAAGTCACCATGTGGTTTCCCCAGTTTTCAGATCTTATGGCTTTATAATATAGTGGATAGAGCAGGCTTTGGAACCAGGAAGACATGGGTTCAAGTCATACCCCGACACAGACTGGTTCTGGGATGCTGAGCAAATTCCCCAACCTCTCAGGGCCCTCAAGCAATCCTAATCCTCCAAGACTATGTTACAGAGCAGGTACTGAGCCAACATTAGAAAAAAAGAGTTTCCTCACAAGCTGTTCACTATACCATTGAAATCACGGGTCTGGTTAAAATAAAAACAGGAAGTATGACTTTTCATTCACTAAAAATTTTTATCAAATGCCTGCTATGTGCATTGCAAAGAACTCACTTCAATTTAAATATTTATTGAGTATTTATTAGCTATACATTCCATGCCCTCAGGAAGTTACAACCAACTGAAGAGAACATAATAATAACAATAATAATAATAAACAGGCTCAGAGTTGTTGATAATGTTTTAACACTCCCAAAGTGTTTTCTTCTCAAGAACTTTGTGAGGGAAATACCATTATCTCCATTTTACAAATAAGGAAACTGAGGCTCACAGAGAATAAACAACTTGCCAGAGTCATACAGCCACTAAGTACAAGATCTGGGACTCAAAGCCAGATCTTCTTGTTCTAAGACCACGGCGTTATGCTGCTTCTCAAAGACAAGATTTACATACGTTAAAAACTTGAAACCACAAAATGCAGAGTCAAGTATAATATAATCATCAATAATACTAATCTCGTGTACTTATATGGTGCTTTACAGTCACAATGCACTTGACATATATTATCTCATTTTATCCAAGTGAACAGTGAAGACAAATGTTGTTAAGAGTTTAGAAGAGGAAAATTATGTGAACTGGAGTAGTTATGGAGAAGATAGGATGTAATCTAAGCCACAAAAGTCAGGCAGGATTCAGACAAGGACAGTAGAAGAGAGAATGCCTTTTGGCAATAATAACAGCTGACATTTATATAGTACCTACTACGTGCCAGGCATTGTGCTAAGCACTTTACAATTCTTATCTCATCTGATCCTCACAACAACTACAGGAGGTAAGTGTTATCATTGTTCCCATTTCCCCCCCACAGATGAGGAAACTGAGGCAAACAGATGTTAAGTGAAGTTCCCAGGATTACACAGCCAGCAAATGTATGAGTTCACACTTGAACTCAGGTCTTCCTGATTCCAGACCTGGCACTCTATCCACTGTGCCACCTAGTGTATGGGTTATTCAGGGAGGACTAGCACCTCTAATGTGGGGGCTTGCTGAACCCTTTCCAGGCCTGTTCATCCACCAGTCATCCAACTCTCAGCTGTGGCTCCAAGAAGCTGTAGTATGCACAATGGCCACACCCTGGTAAACTGTCTAGGCAGATGATCTAAAGCAGATTGAAGGTAACCAATGGGCCTTAAACCCATCTGTAAGTTAGGGGAATGTGTGCCTCAAGCATGTGAAGACTCTCTCCCGCCCCCCAGAATGAGCAGATGAGAACAGTGTGTTCCAACAGCCATGAAGGCGGCTTAAGCAGGCACTGTGGTGCCAGTCTGACTTTGGTCAGACATCAAAGACACCAAGGTCATCCAATAATCTTGAGCCATTGCCAGGCATCTTGATTTCTGTCTTGCCACTGGACTTTGATGACTCTGGAAGAGAGAGTGAGGCTGACAACTCTGTGCAACTCTGTCTCACTTAAATCCAATTCACCTTTAAGTCAAGACATCACCCTCATAATGTCATTGGCCCTCTGAAAACAGAAGACAAACAACAACAATGGCTCAGTGAAAGTCTTTGAACAAAAGAATGAAAGGATGTTTTAGAAAGATTAATCTGGTAGCAATATGCAGGATGGGGACAATTAGAAGACTAAAGGTAATAATGGCCTGGACTACAGCGGCAAGGACAAGACAGATGAAGGTCACATCCCTCGTTGTTCTGTCTGAGTTAGGTCTCTGACCAGTAGAACTTGGTAGGTCTCTGCTGGCATATCCTGCTACACACTAGGGTTACCTTCAACCCAAAGTAGGATACCAGGAATAAATATTTAGTGGAACAAGAAAATAAAAGAATATTTTAAGAATAAATTAAGAATAAAATGAGAATATCATTTGAATCAATCTATTTTGATGTTGAGGTTGCTAGTACCATTGACAGACATAGGTAAGTCAGGAAGGGGAATTGGTTTCGGGGATAACTGTGTTTCAAGTGGCATATTAATTAGAGTAAAATTTTGATTTAACAAGAACATATTTCAGTAACTTCAAGGATCTATGACTTCATTCATCTGGGTACACCAAAGACACAGATCACCAGATACTTAGAAAGAAAAAAAAGGCCCTATGCTACCATCACAGGGGGATAGGGACTTCAAAGGGTGGGGTGGAATTCACCTACAGAATTCAGCTTTGGCAACTCTCTATTTTAGGTAATTTTTCTTGCTAACTAGTTGAGTTATTGAAAAACTTACTAACACAGAAGTGCTACCAGTGACATCTAAATTTTGGAGCCTCAATTGCCCTAACCTAGTTGGGGTCCTATTTAGTAAGACCTTGCACTCAGCTGGGACAGCCTGCTAGGAACGAGGGCTGCATCCAAGCCATGATGTGGATCTTTAATGGAGCAATAAGAAAATAAAAACTATTTTAGGAATCTTTATTTTATCAATAGTACAACTTTTAGAAAGAATAAAATGGGAATGCCCTTTGAATCAGTCTATTTTTCATCCCCAAACACTCAAAAGATCCAATTTAGTCCATAGTTCATTAAGAAAATTATAAATTATGAGACTTTTTTTTAAAAGAAAAAAGTAGATTTCGGCAAAACATTCAATTCATTGCATCATATGCTATTTTATGGTCTAACCATTGTGATTTGTAATAACTGTATGTAAAGTTATACAACCTTTCCACAAATTCTAGAGTTTAGGAAAACACAGTTTTCTTAATAAGCAAGCTTTCATTCTAACATGGCTAGAGCAGAAAAATAAGCCATCAGATGAAAGAGAAATATTGGTTTATTTGTTCTTCACCATAAGAAATGTCATTATGGTTAAATAACACAAATATACTAGTAATGGAAGCAAAACAATCAAAAGACCACAAAGGTTCAACGTTTCCAGACTTCTCTAGGTAGGGGAAACTTTCAGCTTTATCGTCTGTGCTCATAGTCTACATATCCTCTCTTCTTGGCTGACAGTACAGCAGATGAGGCCAAAATTAAGCCTGAAAGAATTAGAAGAATAATTTTTATAGGCAGGCTGAGCACAAACACTGGGATATTGCTGGAGAGATAGAAAATCCATCTTTCATGTCAGGCCTGAAAGTTCTAAAGTGCTTGCTTCCAGAATAAGCTAGGGATTATTAATATAATGGAAACTATTCTTTTACTTCTCTATAATATTTTATGCTAAAAAAATTAATAAGTACCACGATCCCACATTTTATGGACAGCAAATGGTAACCAAACTGAAATCATAAAATCTACTTAAGGTCATGTAGTGGGGATACAATTAAGGTTCTCTCATGATCAACTTCATGACAGGGTGGCCCAAGAGAGATGATCCACTAAAGGTGACAGAAACTTTTTTTTAATGGACCATCTTATATTTATTTCTCTGTCTACATTCATGAACTCAAAGTAGATTCATAATTCCAACAGTGGCTAAAAACCCTTTCTAAAAGGTTCAGTAGCAGGTTAGAGACTTTAATGAAGTTCTTAGGTACACTTTCAAAGTTACTTGTGTCATTAAATTATCGTGACTTTTCCTTGTTTGGTAAGCTCCTAATGTAGAAAAACATTAAACATTAAAGGGAAGACATCTTTGTAAATACAGAAATACTATTGCCACTGACATAAAGCAGTATCTTTAAATTAAAAAGAAGCAGACTGAGAAACAATATGTTTATTAAATATATCAAGTAAAGGTTTGACATCTTGAGTTTATGAGAACTGGTACAGTCATGTATACTGCTCAATAGAAAATTGATCAAAAGTCATAGGCAGATTTTTTTCTAAAGGAAGAAACACAGAACTATTAATAAACACATGAAAAGGTATTTAAGTAATAAACAAAGAAATACAAATCACAACAACTTTAAGATGCCACTTTATACCCACTAAATTGGCAAAAAATGCAAAAAAAAGGATAAAATTTAACATTTATTTGGGTTACAGGGAAATAAACACTCTACTTCAATGTTATTGGGACAATCAACTGGTGGAAATATTTTGCAGAACAATCTAGCAATATATCCTAAGATATACTCTTTGCCCCCCCCAATCCTATTGCTGGAATATTATCCTAAAAATATCATGAAAAGGAAAAAAGAACCTCTGGAAAAACTGTAGCTAATTTATAATAGCAATGAAAAATGTAAAAAGCTTATGTGTCTAATAATCATTGGTAGGTGACTCCACAAAAACAAATATGAAAAATATAAATAATATGGAAACATATATGAACTGATACAAAATGAGCTCAGTAAAACCAGAATGGCATGATTTATATACACATACATATGAATATACACACATATACATATATTTGTATATGGCTATATGTACACACATATCACATAGATTTTGAAGAAGACAATGACCAAACTTTTCTCCCATTTGAGAAAAAAAAGATTCAAATTTGAGAATGAATTTTGATTAGACACTTCTCCCATATTTGATATAAGTAGTTAACTGATGTTTGCCAGAAAGATTGAGTCTGCAGTAATAAAAACATTTTAATATTATAAATATTTGCTGTATTTTCTGAATTTAGTGGGATATAGAAACAAAATACATTTGGAAAGCATAGGAAAAACCTAGTTGATAGCTGATTTGTTTCATAGTTGGTCTGAGAAATAGACATCATTCATATAAATTTCCAGAGAAGGCCTATACATTACCTATGGAGATATGATGGAAGAATGGAAGCAAATAAAGAAGGGAAGCAAATAAAGAAGGGAAAATTCCAACATGAGAGAAAGAGGGGAGGCAAGGTTCCGGACTGCACCATACTCATTATTTACAGGAAGTTTGATATTAATAAATCAGAGACTGCCTGTAGAGTTTTGCCAGTTGAGGTACTAAAATCAAATAATGTCAAGAGAGGGGGAAAAGTTCTTGAAGGTCATCTAGTCTAACCACTTCCTTAACAAATATCCAGACTCACAGTCCATCTTTCTTTCCACTATACCATGCAAAATAAGCTTTATAAGAAAACATGAAATGATTTATAAATGATAGTAAAATCTTTCATCTTTACTAATGTTTCTACTTCAGCTAAATAATTAGAAGTCTGAGAACCTTCCAATATATTCTGTTAAAAAGCAGTGATGGCAATTCATTATAAATTCATTATAAAATGTAACTTTTTTTTTTACTGTTTTGCATCTCTTTCAGTCTTGAAAGGAAAGGTATACACAGTAAAAACTGCAAAATCTTGTCCAGAGCTAAAACTTATTTTCATCAAGTACAGAAAAATAAACATGAGAAAAAAATCTAACACATATCTGGACATAAAAGACAAACTTTAAACTAAATTTCTATTATTTTACAGTTTTCTTGCCCTATTTTAAGCAACCTCTGATTACTGGAATCTCCAATTTGCTTATCAGAAATTGTTCTTTCACAACAAGTTATAACTAAATGCATTCCAAAAGCAACAAAAATCTTTTTTAGAAAATAAGTCATTGTAAAAATATGCAATGCTAAAAATTCTACAATTATTTCATGCACAATTTAACTTTTAAACAGCATGATGAAATAACTAAACTATTTGTTTAAAAGAAATACTGTTTGTTTTCATGCTCTAACAGAAGATATAATCTTGGATAGAGAAATGACTAATATATCTTAACTCTATTACGTTAGTAAATTTGGTGTTTGAGAGCAGGTATTAATTATCCCCAATATATTTGTCCATATTTAGATGTTTGTTTTTGTGGATTTTTTCCCATAGAAGCTTGTACTCTGGTCTGATTCATAGGAATGTCAGAGATATAGGGCACCTCCAGATAAAGAAATACCATCTATTAATTAAGGTCAGCATGTTATCTAATGCATAAAGTGACTAGTAAATATTGTTTATACTTCCTTAAGCTAACTAATAATTGCTGTTCTCTGATGTATGACTAGTACATATTGTTCTTACTTTCTTAATTTAACTATTAATTACTGTTCAATTTTCAAATCTGTATTTTTGCTATATAAAGGTACAAATTTTCAGTTTACTATAAAAGAGAAATAGGTGATTGTTCCTGTGCAAAAAAACAAAACAAAACAAGACAACGTGCTTTTCAAGAAAAAAGCCCTAGCAAAGGGACAACTAATGTATGTACCAGGGCTCCTCAAAAATAAATAATTTTCATTAGTATCTATTAGCAGAAAGTATATAATATTTCACTCAGCTTTGAATCACCTGTTAAAACACTATAAAAGGGGTCAACGTATGATCAGGGACCTTGAATATCACATGCCTCCCTCTTCCTTTCCTTTCCAATAATATAAAAGATGCCCAAGTTAATCATATTCTTAGTTTGTTTTGTTTTGTTTTGTTTTGTTTTAGAAAAATGTTTTGGGAAGAAACCAAATACCACCTACCCAGTGAAAGCAGAAATTGGCAGGGTTCTTTAAGTATATGATGCCAGTAAAAATAAAGACAAAACATGTTGAACAAATATAGCATCTCTGAAAGTCATCGACTAGATTCCATCCAAAAGTCTTATTAAATAGCTTAACCATTGGATTTTCTATGAAAATATAAGCAGCTATTTAAAACCCATAATTATTTCAAAAGGTATTCTGTCTCTCCCTTTTTAAAAAAGCTCTCAATTGTTTTCTCAATATGCTTCAATTTTTCCATGAAGTTTATAATTCTATATTGAAAGAAATGGTTAAAAGTCTAACATTTTCAGCAAAGAGAAAAATACCCAATTTCATATCTGACAATATCAGCTTCTTGTCAAAATATAATTGCTTTGGTTTGTGGCGGTTTCCTGCCATAAACAGTTTTCTGGTCTTTTATTTGTTCAGATGTTATGTTTTCCTGTGACTGAGTTGTGTCTGTGTAAAAGAAAAGTCTACCTTATTCGGGGAAAAACAACTCATGATGCTGAGCTAAGAAGACTGTAATGTTTCTTGACGCTTTCGTCTTACCATGAACACTTCCCAATGTAATATCCCCAGCAGCAGAAGACAGAGATGATGACTCTGTATACAGATACTCGGCTTTCAGCAAACCATCTTCAGTAGATATGTTAACAGAACTCCCCTGTAGTTTATCTATAGTCACAGTCTATTAAAAGAAAATTACTTAAATCAGTTGATTATCAAACCAAAGAGTGATTTACTAAAAGCCATCAAAGCACCTACTGAATTAACCAGGAACTTCATAAAACCTTATCACCCATTACAAACTCTAATGACCAAAAAAAAAAAAAAATCATATCTCTAAGTGGTTTTTTTGGGGGGGGGGGGAGGGGGAGGGGGGTGAAGCCTGGACTATAATTTCATTGGCACATTGAACTCCCAGTGAAGGGATCCCTTGAGTCAAAGCAGATAAGCAATCACTCCACACTTTATAGTTTTAGATGCCTGTTTGTTTAGAAGTTAAGAGATTTGCCTAGGGTGCCATGGCCAGTGCCCAGGAGAGCTGGGATTTAAATCTAGGTCTGTCATACTGACTCCAAGGCCCTTTTCCATCTATTATGCTACACTACCTCTAAGTCATAAAACAAACTTTAAAACGTTAACATACCCAGTAATTTTTAGATGGCATTTTCCTTATATTTTTCCCTAACATGATGTTTTTTCTGTGGTTGTCAGTGTGAGAGAATGAAACGAACAACAGATTTAGATTCAGACTGCTTTAGCTCAAGTCTCTATTTTGAAATGTACTGGCCATATCCTTAAGGCAATGACTAGTTAGTTATCCCTCCCACATCACAGAGTTAGGGTAGCGTGCCCACACGATCTGGAAATCGGCATAAAATTTTTGGCTCTCTCTTCATACCGGCAAATTATGAATTTTTTTCTTTTTCTTTTAGGGGGTGTTTACAGTATCTTATTGTAAAATTTGGGTCAATATTATACAATATTATATATATATTTTATGCATCTCTGAATTTCTAAGCTTTTTCTGTGTCACCTGCTGGCCTTCACATGCTGTCCGCGGCTTCTGCAGAACTCTCCAAAAATTCCCATTTAATGTCTTATGCCAATCTGCGATATATCAAAACCGTGATTGGGAAAGTCATGATGTGGAAGGGATGACTACTGGCTTCTCTAGCTCCCAGGACTGTTTCATGAACAAAGTGCTTTGTAAACTGTAAAGTACTACTTCCACTGTTAAGGCATAATAAAGTGCTTCCTAGATATTAAAGTAGGGCCCACAAGTTATAAGAAACAAGGGTACTGATATAGGAACCAACTAGTATCCTGAAGTGGTAGCATGAAGCACTTCATGGAAACTTTAGCTTATATATAATAAAAGTAACAGACATTGGTAGTGACTTGGAAAATCATAAAAGTCAATTCTAGAGAACCCTGAAATAGTCACATATTCTCTGGGTTCTCAGTTCTTTTTCCTGGTATTTATTCTTTTGAAGATAGGGTTATGGTCCCCTAATACTCACTTGGAAATAATTAAAATCAAACTTTAAAATTCAGAGAGGACACTATTAGTGTTGTTGAGAACAAATTCCTTGTGAATTTGACATGAGAGGCCCTGGCTGTGAATTCCAAATCTGCTACTTCCAATTTGTGGGGTTTTGGGCACGTCCCTTTCACTTCTCTTTGTCTCCATTTGCTCATCATTAATATGATCTAGATGATCTCTATTAAGGTCAATTCTAGTCCTAAATCTATGATACTATGATTCTGCAAAGAACTAAATTCAGAAATTACAATAACCAAAAAAGTCACATACCATAAAACAAAGAAGATATCATGCAGAAATTATTCCTAGCATGGTAGAATCCATGCTAGTCAACGTTGTAGAAGAATGTTCTATGCTGTAAATAGTTGGTTAGTAAAAGAGCTATCAAGGATGGTTTACCAATTTGCATAAAAATTAGATACACTTAGCACTAAGACAATTCCAAAGGCATTTTCTTTGATGATTTGGAAGGCATTTTACAATTTTATGGTGCCTCAGGGTTGTCATTTTGAGTTAGTAGAAATTATTCTTTAAAAAAAAATCATACACCACAGATTTTACTATAATCCCTGGGTAAAAATCACTCTGACAAAAAAATCAGTGTACTTTCTAATGAGTCTATTCCCTCATTGAGAGAACGTGTTATATTTTTGGCCTGTTTCTCTTCTTCAGAGAAAAAAAATTAATCTAACTCAATGTTAACTTTCGACACTAATTCAGAATCAAGAACATCCTAGTTACTGATAAGTCAAAAATGTGAAAATTAGTTCTGTAAAACCCATTATATTTAAAGTTTGTCAATAGTCACATTGACAAGTTGCACTTGATTAGAATGAAGAACATTTCTGTTTAACTGTAGTATTCTTATTATGAAGTTTAAGTAAATCCTATTTAGCTTAATGCATTATGCTTCGTTTAATACAAATATCAATTATACTGAAATAGTTATCAAAATATTAAAAATATCAAAATCCACTCACTCTAGGGTAAGAACTCCTGCTCTTAGGCACAGACTAACACAGGAGCATTCATCCTAATTTCCAGTCCAGTATTCTACTTAATGACTAACCAATACTGTCATCATACTTTCTAATTACTATTTGGAAAAAATGATGAAGGGCTGACCTTGTTTATAAAACAATGAGAATTTTGTTCTTTAGAAAGCTAGAAAAAAGTCCAAAAGAAAATAAAACAATAAACCGCATTTTTTCATACAATATTATCTTAATAATTCCCTTCAATAAATTATCCTGTAGGAAGCATAGTCTGCACTGTCAATAGGCTATTAGACCCTCTTCTAGATACTTCAACTGATATACAAAACTAAAAAAAATCATATAGTACAGCAAGGTTTTTGTCTTCTCTTAACTATTCATTAGATGAAATGTGGTACAAGCTGAATGCTAACAGAAATATCTGTTTGAGAATGGGCAGAATACAGTCCAAAAGAAAAGATCAAGAACTATCTCCTACTAAAAGAAGCTTGGAAATAATATTCCTTTTTAGTGTGAGAACAGAAACTTTAAACTATTTAATATTTTCAATACACATCAAATGTAACAGAAACTAAGCTATTTGTTGGAAGTATACATCAGGTGTTTAATTAGTGTTTAAGTGAATTGTCTTATGTTTAGAAGACCAGAAAAAGAAATCAATCTCAGAACTACTTGGTAGCTTTGTTATTGATTCATTGTGAAATTGGACAAATCATGTTATTTCTCAGTTTCTCCATCTGTAGAATGGGAATGATATAATCTTACCCGTATCTACTTCATAGGGAAATTAAATTAGATATAATTTTTAAAAATCACTTTGTGAAATTTTGAACATATATATAGTAGCTTGTCTTACTTCAGAAAACTTATTTAGAACATTTTTTGCTCAAAAAGTAAATATATACAATCATCAAACATTAAGCATTCACTATCTGCAAGAATCTGTACTAAGCACAGATTTTATTTTACACTTTTGTGTTTCTTCAAAAAATGCAAATTTGAACACATTTTTAAAAATGTCATATATACTATACATGATTTCATTTAAATCAAAAACTCTGAGAGTCCTATCACATATAGAGACAGAAAATTATTCTGGAATGAGAAAAAATTACTATGAAAAGAAATGGGGAAAGAGAAAACAGGCCAAAGAAACAATAAATGTAAACAGTTGAATCTTGCTTAACTGCTTGCATGCAATCACTAATCCAGTTAATTCAAAACAACAATCCAAGAATAATTCAGGCTGGGTTTCTGCATGAACTTTGGTTCTTATATTTGGTTGTATTTGACATTCTGAAAATAACACATAAAATAAATTGAAGAAATGATTCAAAAGGAGTAGCAAAGACGTCCAGATTTTCTTCCTAAAGTTACTCAACAATCTCTTAATTGCCAAGTCTAATGACCTTTTCTCTTCTAATCTGAATACTCAACCAAAACTGCTTTCTCCAAAGTTACTAAGAATCTCTTAGTCGCCAAATCTAATGGGCTTTTCTCAGTCCTCATACTTCTTGACTTCTCTGCAGCCTTTGGCATTATTGATCACCCTCTTCTCCTTCATACTTGGTCCTAGGTTTTCAAGACACTCTATTTTCCTGGTTCTCCTACCTATCTGACTGCTTCATCTCAGTCTCCTTTGCTAGAGACTTCATTCAGGTTACACCTGCTAAATGTGGGCATCTCACAAGGTTCCATCATGGGCCCACTTCTCTTTTCCCTCTATATTATTTTACTTCATGATCTCATCAGCTCCCATAGATTCAATTATCTCTAAGCTAATGCTTCTCAAATCTACTTATTCAGCCCAAACCTCTCTGATGACTTTCAGTCTCACATCTCCAATTTCTTACTCAACATCTCAAAATGAATGTCCTATAGATATCTTAAATTCAATATATCTAAAACTGAATTTTGATTATATTAAAATAAAAAGCTTTTATACAAACAAAACCAATGCAACCAAGATTAGAAGGAAAGCAGAAAGCTGGGAAATAATCTTTACAACAAGTGTCTCTGATAAAGGTCTCATTTCTCAAATATATAGAGAACTGAGTCAAATTTATAAGAATACTAATGCACTGGAGTTGAGAACTGATTCAACCAAACTATGCTGAAAGGGCAACCCAACTGTGCATACCCTTTGATCCAGCAATATCCCTACTAGGTCTGTATCCCAGAGAGATCATAAAAAAAAGAAAAGGATCTACATGTTCAAAAATATTTACAGCTGCCCTATTCATGGTGGCAAAATGTTGGAAATTAAGGGGATGCCCATCAATTGGGGAATGGCTGAAAAAGCTGTGTTATATGAATGTAATGGAATGCTATTGTGCAATGAGGAATGATGAACAGGCAGATTTCAGAAAAACCTAGAAAGACTCATATGAACTGATACAAACTGAAATGAGCAGAACCAGTAAAACAATGTACACAGTATCAGCAACACTGTGTGATGTCCAACTATGAATGACCTGCCTCTTCTCAGCAATACAATGATCCAAGACAAATACAAAAGACTCATGAAGGAAAATATTATCCATATCCAGATAAAGAACTGATGAACTCTGAAAACAGATTAAAGCATATTATTTTCACTTTATATTTTTTCATATTTTTTTCTCCTTTTCATCTGTTTCTTCT